AGACGTCATGTATTGTTTGTGAACCGTTGTTGGTGAAGAATTGTAGTAAGTAAAAGACATAAATTGAAACGTTACCACAAATTAACATATATGCAAATGGAATCCACAAACAAAATGCGCATTCCACTAACAATTTGCGGATTCCACTTACAATTTGCGGATTCTACTTACAAACTGCGGATTCCACTTACAATTTTTGGATTCCACTTACAGTTGCGGATTCTGCAACAGTTCAATTTAACCATACGAATGTTTTATCATTAGTTTTTGGACTCCACAAACTGTTCTGGATTCAGCAAATACAGTTGCGGATTCCGCAAATTCGCCTATTTTTGGAGCGATTTTTAGCGGTACAATGATTTAGTAGGTAATTGTTTGTGGAATCCAAAACAGCATAGAAAATCAAAGAAAAGTAGCAAAGTTGCGGATTCCGCGACAAAACAGATTTTGGCTTGTTGCGGATTCCGCTTACAATGCAGAGAATGCACAGTTTGGCCTCGTAATGTTGCCGACGTTTTGTTTTGATTGAAGAACAAATTGATTTTCTGCGCTCTCCTCTATCACTCTAAATGCCCTTATTTTAACAAACAGTCAATGCTGACAGGCACATTTTTGAAGAAACGAGTCAAAAAAGGCGTTTTTGGGCGCTTTTTGAGAAAATTTCGACCAAAAAATGCCGTTTTTTTTGGCTCATGCATCCCATAGAAATGGTACAATTTGGCGCAAAAGGCGTCCTTAGAAATTTTTCAGGGTAGGCCAGTCCAAAATGGATATCTCAAAAAGGTACGAAGGGGGACCTTTGGGGTCGACAGAGGTTCGATTATCTGAGGTGGGGGGATGAAAGTTGCGGAACAAATCATTACAAACTAACCTTTTTTAGATTTTTTATGAGCTTTTTTGATGGTGGTTGTCTTCGGATTCATCGTATGTGGAGGATAAATGGAGTTATGTCAAACTTTATCTGAAGAAACTATTGAGATTGCTAATCGAAACTATTTTATTAAATGGTTTAAAACACACCGATAAAATCATGAAAATCTTAAAAAATATTTTGTGTTTTGAATACCAGATGAAGTAAAAACTACGGCTAGAATATTCGAATAGAAAATATTAGAATAGAAAAAATGGTTTTTGCGCTAGTAGGTGAACATGTCCCCAGCCCTCAAGCAAAGTTACAACTTGATCGCACGGCAAAATTCCGAGGTGATGTAAATTTTTTTTCGTTCCTCAGAGACCTATTTTGGGATTTTTTTGCCCGATCATTAGTTTTTGGACTCCACAAACTGTTCTGGATTCAGCAAATACAGTTGCGGATTCCGCAAATTCGCCTATTTTTGGAGCGATTTTTAGCGGTACAATGATTTAGTAGGTAATTGTTTGTGGAATCCAAAACAGCATAGAAAATCAAAGAAAAGTAGCAAAGTTGCGGATTCCGCGACAAAACAGATTTTGGCTTGTTGCGGATTCCGCTTACAATGCAGAGAATGCACAGTTTGGCCTCGTAATGTTGCCGACGTTTTGTTTTGATTGAAGAACAAATTGATTTTCTGCGCTCTCCTCTATCACTCTAAATGCCCTTATTTTAACAAACAGTCAATGCTGACAGGCACATTTTTGAAGAAACGAGTCAAAAAAGGCGTTTTTGGGCGCTTTTTGAGAAAATTTCGACCAAAAAATGCCGTTTTTTTTGGCTCATGCATCCCATAGAAATGGTACAATTTGGCGCAAAAGGCGTCCTTAGAAATTTTTCAGGGTAGGCCAGTCCAAAATGGATATCTCAAAAAGGTACGAAGGGGGACCTTTGGGGTCGACAGAGGTTCGATTATCTGAGGTGGGGGGATGAAAGTTGCGGAACAAATCATTACAAACTAACCTTTTTTAGATTTTTTATGAGCTTTTTTGATGGTGGTTGTCTTCGGATTCATCGTATGTGGAGGATAAATGGAGTTATGTCAAACTTTATCTGAAGAAACTATTGAGATTGCTAATCGAAACTATTTTATTAAATGGTTTAAAACACACCGATAAAATCATGAAAATCTTAAAAAATATTTTGTGTTTTGAATACCAGATGAAGTAAAAACTACGGCTAGAATATTCGAAGGATTACGTCTCAAATGGCATAATTCCCAAAAGGCATAAAATTAAAAAATTTCCCAAATGGCATAAATTGAATGCAACTGTTGCATTGAAAAAATCGAGATCAATTTTTTCGTGAAAAATGTGGAAAAAGTCAAATTGTCAATCCATATGTTGATTGACATTTTATCTTCCAAAAGTTGTAGAGTTTTTTTCATCAAAAGCAAGAAGCATAAGCTTGCGGTTATTAATAAGCTTCTTGTGGTCGACTTTTTTGACAATTTGTTGCGTAAATTTGTTTGGAAGCAATTAATTCCAAATCTTGTTCACATGCTTTCGTTCCTGACAAAATGTTAGAATTAGAATTTTATACAAAATGTTTAAACTACAATGAAAACTTGAAATTTATGCCATTTGGGAAAAGTTTCCATCTTTATGCCATTTGGGAATTATGCCATTTGGGAAGTTACCATTCGAAGTAATGAAAAGATCAGGATCAATATAAAATTGGTGACGTCCCATTTGTACCAACGGTCATTTGTACCAAAATGAAAAATCTGTCCCATTTGTACCAAAATTATTCAACTCGATTTCTGATTGGTCGAATTGTGAGCCAACGAATTATTACATTAATTTTCTACTGTTCAAACAGAAGAAAACTTAACAGCAGAATAGTGACCGCCGCAGTCGCGCCAATGTGTTGCGAGCTTGCCAACATAGGGTGGTGCGTACCCACGGAGCCGCACTCCCGGATAGCCGAAAAAACTAAATACCTCCGGTTTTATTTAAATTAAATCACAAAACTGTTCACCAAATTGAGGCGCATTTTGATTGGACAAAAAATTTTGCAGCCTGTTATAACTAACAAAATTCCGAACGTTTTTAAGAGATTTGATTGGCTAATACTTTTACTCTCATTGAATTAATTAACAGCAAAAGTCCGACTACTACAGGGATTTGACTCTTCAACAGCCAAAGCAGAGGAAATTTATTTTCACAGCAAAAGTCCGACTACTACAGGGATTTGACTCTTCAACAACCAAAGCAGGGAACGAATTTATTTTTCGGCTATCCGGGTATTCGGCTCCGTGACACGCCACCCAGAGGGTAGGACTCTATACGAAAATTAGAGCCGGTTATCGCGGCCTTAAACCAAGAGCTTAAAGTAGTCGGATTAATAGTCTTAGGCCAATTGAATATTTTTGGTACTAACGCGAGTGATTTTTTATTTTGGTACAAATGGGACTGATTTATCATTTTGGTACTTGTGAATACCCACCATAAAATTGAAGAAAACCCCCTTTGACGTTAAAAAGCGGTTTATTTTAGCGTTGAATTGATCATTTCCTTCGTCACTTGAAACTAACTGCGGCAGGACGTGAAAGAAATTCTTCAATATTGATTGTGAAGAGCGCGTGTAAACAAATTTTGCTGCGATTCAGTTTTATTGCTACAAAATTAGTTAATATCTGATTCATCCCTGTTCAACAACCGACTGTGTTCGGGTAATGTGTGTTCAGTGTTAAGTTATGCGCAGTACAAGTTTGTTCAATGGTTAAATAATTTCCATGACTGCAAGTTAAGAAATGAAATAAAAATGTGCATGGATGAACTTGATATGAAAGTTGAGTACACAAACATTCAAGGGCGATGGTCATTAGCCACGACTTCCCGCTTTAGCCAAAATCAGTAGTTAATGATTCCTGCTCCTTGTTTGAGGTTGAAACAACCTGACTCAAATCAGAAAAAAATCCAAGAGTATGCGTGAAATAGTAAGCGGTTCTCCGTTAGGAGCTGAACAACTTGTAAATTGGTTCTTTCTCTCAATGAAAATGTTTATGAAAAGATAGGCAAGACTGCTCGTATCAGGGCGAAGCCCTGAATGTTCCGACTGCCTTTTAAGGTTTATTGAGCAGCAGTAATACATAAAAAAAATAAATGAAATAAAATAAAATGAATTTTTTTTTTAATTTGAAATTTTTTTATGAAAATCATCCCCCCACACGCCATATAAAGTACAAAAAGATAGATTTCGTTCCTTGTAACAAATCAATTATGGCAATTAAGCTTCGTTCAACCAATTTGGAATGATTTATAAGACGGATTAAATATCCGCTTACGCGTTAATAGCGCGAATTATATTGCGCGTTAATTGTCCCAAATTGGTCAAAATGGCCAAAATGGCAATCTTTAAACCCTCATAACTTTACAAAAAATGATCACAGGGGAAATATCTTTTCAAATTTAAGCTCAGGACAACAATACCTTTTGAATGATATAAAAAAATTCCGTCAAAAATGGCTAGTTAAAAAGTCGAAATTTGTCTGAAGAAAAAAAACCCACCCCGAGCACAAATATTCCGTTACTTTCGTATCGAAAGTCGGAACAATAATTCCTAATGTTTAGTCGTATTTAATACTTTCAGCTGCTCTTTTTTCTGTTCACACGACAATCTAATCAATTGTGTACATCTGGGAGAAATTAGGGCAACTTAACTTAGAGATTGAGGTTAATTGAAAAATAAATTCTGATGTAACAATTTTGCTTCAAAAAAACGTTTGATATTATACAGTTTTTTGAAATTTTATTTTCTAAGAGCTTTGTTGAACTGTGTCAGAGGTTTTTTTTTATATAATTTTGCCATCAATTAGTTTCGTAGTTTTAGCGTTATTCTTGATTAACTCAAAAAAGCCCAAAGGACTTTTTTCGGGGTAGAATTTTGGTTCCTAATTTCCAAAAAAAATAATCAGTTTTTTTTTAAATTAGTTTGATGACTTTCGAAGCTTTTCTCCAAAAAAATGGAATAAAAAATGTGAAAGCAGTTTTAAAGATTCCTGTATTATTTTTATACGATTTCGAATTCTTTTTTGGTTGATATAAGAACTTGATGAGATTTCCAACTCTTTCTTGCAGACATAAAAACCGTACGAGAAGTTGAATGTCAAAACAACACGAACATCCATTAACCGATGATTTTTCTACTCAAAAATGCTGTGAGTTGATTTTAATTTTACATAATTTTTTCAATTTTAAGTTTCCTTTATTTGCGGCAAATGTTTAATCGCATACATGTTACCAATACCCTAGTTGAAGGTTATTTCTGGAGATGGTTTAAAATTTAGATTCACGTCTGAGCTTGATTGAATATTAGAAGTGATAAATGAGTATTGTTGGCCTATTTTGAAACAATTCACTTTGCCATCTCTCATCTCTAAACTATAGCTCTTTGTCGTCACTTGGGATCGGTTAGGATTCGTGGTTCTTCGGGTGTCGCTTGTTCCTCCCCCTGTGCCGGTCTCTCTGCTCCCTTTCAGACTCCCTGATCTGCAGAATGATCTCCTTGTACACTCTGTCCTTGGCCGTAGTGCCCCACACGAAGTCCATGTGGTCGAACCTGCAATCAGATATGTGCACATAGATGGGGTTGTATGAGTTCAAATTGAAACAGAACACTTTTTGTACTTACTTTAAAAAAAGATGGGAGCTATTCACAACATAAGTTAATTGAAGAGTTATTAATAGTAAACATATTGGCTGCTACTTAAAAATAGCAGAAAGTAGCTTGTTGGCCACAGACAAAGCTCTTTTATGTAACCCCCCTTTTTTCACAGCTTAACAGCAGTGAATGGAATATTCCAGAAGGATCTAGGTCTTTTACCAGACCACAATTCAATAATTCAATTAAGATAAACTTAAATCAGTTGCACAATCGAAAAGGAAGCGGTTAGAACAAGCAAAACTTCACTGAGAAACCCTGAATACATTGTCTTTAACCAGACTAAAAGACGTCAATACATCTGTCAATCATAATTGTTTATCGAGTCTGGTAAAAGGTCTGGTAATTCTATAACAATTAAAGTTATAGCCTCAATTCAATTATGTAAAACTAAGAAAAATTTTGAGTGCGGATAACTTGCTACACATGATTTATTCGCGCATTGAAATTATCAAGTATCATTTGAGCGTCAATGTTATTCGTATTTTAGTGTAAAGCAACCATAATCGTTTACCAATCCAAAAATTTTTGGATCAATACCATACGTCTTTTTTCGAGAGCTGGAAAATTTAGTCTTAACTGCATAGCCGGTTACTGTGTAAATAGCACAGACTAATACAAACATAGTTTTTAAAAAAATTTATACTTTTTCAATTTAGTGTCCTTCTTTCTGTGTAGAAAAAAGAATTTAAGCATATTTGAAAGTCATAGTCAAACAGGCCTATTGGAAAACAATATTTCTAGAAAACGACTGAAAAAACGTTTAGAAAACGTAAGAAAGTTTCGCAAATTTTTTCCAATTTTTTGCAGAACTTTTTTTCGATTTTTTGAAAATTTTGATTCCTAAAATGGCGCTAAAAACTCCAAAAATTAATTTCGCTAGAGTAAAACGAAGTTTTCACGGCTGAAATAAAACCTAAATAAGCTATCGTAAGCAGGCACGCTGACCATATTCTCTCGAAATATGTCCAAAAATCAAAAATTTCACACAGGTTTTTCTCAATTTTTTGAATTTTTTTAGAATCATTCAAATCACGAATAAAAGAGTTTTAATATGATATGAAAACTGACCTATTCCGATGATTGTATGTGGTACCTGAGTTTGGGTGAATACTTTAAAAAATTTAAAAAACACCCAATACAAAGTTTCTCCGCTTTTTTCAAATTGGCGATATAAAAAGCTTCAAATTGGTTTTCAAAACCCAAAACTTTCTATTTGATAAAATTTTTCTCAGCAAATTCAAATTTTATTATAAATCAGAAAGTAGAAAAGACCCTGTATTCCTAGCTAGCGTTATATTCAGCGTATCTAAATAAAGTTAGCAGAACATTTATTTATGTGGTATAGAGCCAACCGAAAATACGTAACTGTTTCATAAAAGTTATGTAACAATTATGTATTAGATATAAAAATCATGCAATTTTTATTCATATGACGTAGTTTATCGGCTGCGTCATGTACTCTGCGAACTTTTGGTTGGTGTTTACTTCGGTTGGTTTGTTTAAAACCGTAGTACACTTGTTTTTCAAAACACCGCAGCCAGTTTCCGAGATTTTTAACACTAGAATCGAGTGTTGAACCCCATTTTGTACGATATCAATGCTAGTATTAATTAAATGGATGGGATAATTCACATGTTGATGAGTTTAATCTTTGTAGGAGTGATTCTAGATACTATCGTTAAAAGGTTTTCCTGGCTTCCTGGTTTAGAAGTGTAACGGTTTAAAGACGAGGCATATTAAAAAAGTATCTAAGCGAAGTGTGAGAATGCTTCACTTATATTATTTCTCCCTTGTTGTTCTAGAAAACAAACAGAGTATGTTGTGACATGTCATTGTAATCTGACCTGTCGAGGGTGTTGTCGTAGACTATCGTGTGGTTAATGTCCTGTCGCAGTTTGTCCACGTCTCTCGGATCTGCCAGCCAGTCTCGCCCGCCGGAGAAGAGAGACACCGGGATGTCCAGACCTACGAGAGTAACACCAACAAGCTAACGGCCTCCCTACTACATGGCGCAGTTATATCCGCAATGAACAAGCCTGAGTCAGAAAGCGCCCAACTGAAAACTAAATTGCCGAGAAAGAAAAACATGTTTTAATGTTTTTCTGAAACTACCTGAGTGAACGTTAATTCGTGATATTTTAGGGCAGATATCCTTTTAAACTGATGCTTTTGCTTAGATTCTTTCCTACTGAAATGGCAGAAAAGCTCGGCTCCTTGTCTTTAATAACTGCTAAAAGAGAACAGGCAAAAAAGTGTCAAAAGAAAGAAATGCAAAAAAAAAGATTCAGTTTCTTTACTTTTACTTGCGAGAAAAACAAATGCATGAACATAATCTACAAAGTGAAAGTGTGTGTTGCACTGTTGTGCTGGTGTACCTGTGATGTTGTAGATGGGAGCCTCGTGTTGTCCGTAGTGTTTCTGGTTGTCGTGCCAGCCGAAGTCGTACATCTGGGTGTCTCCACTCTGGATCAGCTGGGCCCAGTGGTTGATGTCCCGCAGAGAGGTTCCTGTCACCCAGATGAACAATTATGTAACAGCTACTCAGAACGGTTTTGATGCACTTAGAATTCTCATTCAATACATACCGTTTGAGTTCTCATTCAATTTGCTTAAATTAATTTATTATTGCGCAGGACGTAATATTATCGTGCCCCTCCCCTAGAATACTTTCCCGCGTCCAGTTATTATCAATTTTATGAAGATTAGAAATCGGACTTTTTAAACTTGAAAAAAAGCTAAACAAAATTGCCTAAAAAAGAGATAATAAATTTTTAGGCAATTTTGTTTAGCTTTTTTTCAAGTTTAAAAAGTCCGATGTCTAATCTTCATATAATTGATAATAACTGGACGCGGGAAGGTACTCTAGGGGAGGGGAATGATAATATTACAACCTGCGCAATAATAAATTAATCTAAGCAAAAAATATAATTGCAAATTCAATGAGAACTCAAACGGTATGTATTGAATGAGAATTCTAAGTGCATCAAAACCGTTCTGAGTAGCTGTTGACCTCCATAGACCAAAAATGCCAGTCATACAATTCCATAAACTAAGTCGATGAAAAAAGACTAATCATACAAATTTCATACATTTTGTTAAAATGGTGTCATCGAATTTTCGAAGAATTCTTGTTTTGGCATAAAACTCAGTGTATCGAACTGAATAAAAAAAACTTGTCAAAAAAAAAATGCTAATCATACAATTTCTATATATGGAAATTGTATGACTAGCAATTTTTTTGAAGGCGACAACAAAATGTTTTTTTAAATTGCCCCCAAACATTTTTTTGTGTTTTTTCTTTCAACCGCAAATTGTTTTTCGTACTCAAACAAACATTTTTTAAATCCAGATGAAAAAAAAAACATCCAGACAGCTTGGACTTTGGAATTTTTTTCGAAACGTGTGAAGAGCGGCATGCTCAAAATCTGGCAATTTTTTTCAGGTCTACTGTCAGGGGCTACGCTTTTTAGGGCTTCTAACAAACAGTAGTATGTTTTTTTGTTTTTTTTTGGTAAGAAGCCATGTATGCGAGCGAGGGCTATTCGTGAAAGACTAAAATGTATTGAGCAAAGTTGATACAACATTTAAGGAGTAACTTTGAAAGTTCTGTCAGCCAACCAAAACTTTGACTTTTCGAGCACACGTAGCATTGCCGGGTCGCCGAATAAAATAATTCTTCCGTGATCATTTTGTGCGCTGTTACATCTTACAAAGTTCTTAATTAGCTCGGGTCTTTCGAAGTTTTTTTATTGCTGGGGAGGCTGGTAAAACCTGTTCTGTTGCTTAGGAATGCAGTGTACAGTTCGAATTAAATTTTTCTTAGTTGGTAGGGCCAATTGAGTGGCAAAAATGTCCGTTATGAGCTGAATGGCTGTGGCGACTACGACGGTCGGCCTATTACTCTCGCTCAACTCCTTGATATTTTTCAAAATTAGTCGATCATCAAGATTTCCCGTATATATGTCATGATTATGCTCACTCCTCGTTTCAATAAAATTCTTGCAATCCGTAGTTGCTGTTGCTCGGCCTTCATGAGTCTGGTATTTTAATAATAATAATGCCAGGTTTATGTAAAGTTTATTTTATGTTAAAAAAAAGGAAACAAAGTTTATATTGAATTTTCAGGAACGCGGAAATATCCAACGTTTTGGTTGTTCAACTCCTTTTTTTGAGAAATTTTTCCTCGTTCTCAAGTAACAAGCAAGGGTTAAATTGGTTTTTGATAGACAAGCTATTATTTTGTTAGGGTGAGATCACACAAAAAATGTTTTTTTTTAAAAATCAATTTTCAACTTTTTCCTTCATGCTTTGTCGCTTAGAAGAAACTAATGTGAGGGTTTTGCTGAGACCCAGAGTTTTCCAATGAAAGATTTTGACTGCAAAAACTCGGTGGTCTTCTACAAGGTTTTTTCGGCATGTACGACATCTCTCATCCGAAGCAGTAAACCGATAAACTCTGTGGAAAGACAGATGACTCACCGGCGGGGAAGTGAGAGAAGAAGACATCTGCTCTTGATTTGTTGAATGCGAAGAAGTCCACCCCTGCGAAGCTGAAAGTGAGCAGTTCACACACGAGTGGGATAGTGCCACACAATGTCCTCCCTATGTCCTCTGTGATGATGTTGCTAGGCAGGACCTCGTCTATGCCTGCTAGATTCAGGAAGTCGTACAATATGCCGTGGAACGGCACTACCAGCCGCACGGGACCTGCAATATAGTAGAATTAACATGGAAGCGGCTTTGAATGACAGGCTACTTTTTCTTTAATGATTTTTTAAAGATTTTTCAGGTAAAAACGTAATATGGTTATCCGAACACTCCATGAATGCTTATATAACCCTAATTCTAACAACAAAATTATGATAAAATAAACCGATAATGAAAAATTATCTCAGAAAATAGTATCAAAGAGAAGACTAATTGGGTGGTGAGAATTTGATTTCATATTTTTTTCCAAATAAAAAAGAAATGTGGATACTTCTCTTAAGTATACCTACCTTTGAGGTGCCCTGCGTGACTAATGGGAGCGAGTGCGAAGATGTGCTTGACCTTGTTGGCCAGAGTGTGGTTCTGGCTGAAGCCAGTGAATGCCATCAGAGTGCCCTGGGAGTGGCCCACGTAGTAGATGGAGGAGACATTTGTTTCCTCTGTCACGTAATCCAACACAGCTGGCAAGTCGTATTTGGCCATTTCGTCCCACGAGAAGTCCCAGAATTTGCGACGCCTCGAATTCATGTTCACGTTTGCGTGGCTGTATCTATAAGAAGACAAACATGTTTCCTCATATTACCTATTATATCACTTATAGAAGCCTCGATCGGTTTTTTGTTAGTAACTCGCGCAAACATTGCAATTTCTTGCCAAAATATTTCGAAAAAGCGGAAGATCCTGTTTATTTTAAAATTTTTTGAAGTTTAACGGTAATGTGCGTAGTTTGTACTGACTATCAAATAGGATGGGTCTTTAAGTTTTACAAGAATAATGACTGCCCGGGTCGACGGCGAAAAGGCTCCTTAAACAATTCCACTTATTGAACTCAAAAAAAAATGCGAAGTGAAAAAAATGCGAACCACAGAGATTTCATACAATTTTCTAGCCCTATCAATTGTATGGACCATAGTTTGGGGATTGTATTGTATAGCGGATCTAGGATTTTCTCGAGAGAGGGGGGATGGATTTAAAAAAAAATCCCCCACTCAAAATTAGTTCAATGGCACCAGAAAAACTTCAGGGTCATCCATTCAAAAATGGAGGTCTTAAAACAGCACCAAAGGGAGACCCTTTGTGTGGCCAGGGGCTCGAATCTAAATCCGTCCCTGTGAAGGAGGCATTTTGTCTGCTCGGATCAGGTGACGGGGCTGACTCACGTGTTTCCCCTGCTGTTGGACATCCACACATCGAATCCGGCATCTGCCAGCATGAATCCGAGGGAGTTGTCGGCCTGGTTAATGACCCAGGTGGTGCTCGCATCCAGCAGACCATGTTGCAGCAGCACCACTGGTTTAGTCTTGTTCAGGAACTGTTGTCCATGAGTGCTGTTTGGACCTGGAGAGCAATGAAGTGTTTTGAAATTTATTTGAGAGGCGGAAAAATAACATGTTGTTCATTTAGTCACGGGTTTTGCACTCTTTTTCATACTAGAGTTTGCCCAAATATGGACTATCGAACTTTTTTTTGCTACTCGTCAATGTTACAGTTGAGTAAAAATTGTGAAAAATGTTGCCTCGCTTTATAAATTATTTTTTTAATTTCCCGAATTTTTCGGATCACGTTGTTCGCAAAAGTTCAGCCTTTAACGACTATATTGGGAGTTGAAACACGTTGTGCCCATGTTTTTTTTCGGTTTCCTATCTGTATTCATTGGGACTATGAATGTCTGAGCATAAAACCAGGTCCTCGACATTACACGTATTCTTTATAAATATAAATGAGTTGAAGTTGCGTTTGAAAAGATGAAAGAAAAGTGAGTGGTTAGCTGACCGACTCTCTGCAGACTGAGCAAGTAGCCATCCTGTGTCTGTGCAATGTGGTCCTCACAGCTGTACCCTTTAGAGGTGATCAACTCCGTCACGTTTCTCTTAGTGTCCGGGTCACGTGACAACTCTCTAGTGGACTCCAGCTGCTGCTCCAGGTTGTCCAGTCCCAGAAAGAGGGCATCGCGAACTAGTTTCTTCAGGCGGTCTACACTGTCTGATGTTTCTTTATCTTCCTTTTCGTCTAGACAAAGAAATCTCACACAAATACTTCGCAAACCTTTTGTAAAAAAGTGTTTTGGATTTCTATAACAACCCCCTACAGCAGCGAATGTCCGCCACTATAAAATAATAATTCAACAGCTTAGCATAGCGAAGAAAGTACCTTTTGATTATTATACTTCCAATACACTTTTAATCGGCAATAAAACTCAACTTTTAGAAAAATTCCTAAAACTACTGAAAAAACGGCCTTTTTGGAACTATCTCGAAGAGCTCTTCATTGTGTCGCTTTCGTGTCCCAGCTTAAGGATTACTCAGTTTTTCTGTAATAATTCGGCAGAGATATTATCTAAGCCTCGACTGAGTGACGGAGAACGTGGTAAGTTCACCGCCGCTCCTCAAGTCCTTAAAAAAGCTCAGGCAAATGAGCTTCAAAATGATCAGTTATTGAACATGTAAACATGCATTTTTTCATTTTTTTAGGAAACATCGATTTTTCATTTTTTCCCGAATTAAATAAAAGTTTTTTTTTCAACATAAATGGTCTTACCAAAAGAAAACGATTCAAGAAGCCCGTCTAGGTATTTCAAAACATCCATATTCAGCCCATCCTTGTTGACATCAGACCCCAACTGGTCCAGAACATCGGCACGTGACTCCATCGCCATAGCCACAAGCAATAGCACCAACATCCGGAGCATTTTCATATTAATTAATTAGCCCGTTTAATTATTATTGGTAATTTTTAGTTTCCGAATTTTAGAGTTCAAGTCAGTTTTGACTTTTTGCCACAGTTAGCAAAATGCCCGCTCTATCAAAGTTATTTATTTTGCAAACTTAACTGAAGATTAATTAAATCTAGTTTGAAATCAGTAGACTTGGGGTTGACCTTGCGTCTAATTAGTTATAAATATGATGTTTATTCCTCAAATGTTTGGTTAAATTTTGTCACATGAACTCCAAATGCCAAAACGAGGCGTTTAAATGATGACAGATTAAAAGTAACAAGAACATTTCTGAAGTTTGGTGATGTGCTCGATATATGTTTCAAGACGAGTTCAACTAATTTGGAATTGTTTTGAGAAGCATCGTCGCAACAATTCAAAAAAAGTATTGCTATTTTCGAGACATTTGGCCGAACTTGGCCGATTTAAAAATTTAATTTAATAGTTGAGCCTTTTTAGGGTTCAAGGAGAATGCAAAAAAAATTGATACATTCCTTGACTATTCGATTTAATTTACCGATCGAAAAATATTCTACAGGAGCAGCATACAATTGAAACAAGATTGTTTTTCATGCCATAAATATCAATACGAAGGATGCAGATACGTTTTCAAGCTCGTTATTGAGAATTTTAGGCTTTCAATTTCATTGAGTTTCCTCAAATTGGCTTCTTCCGGTTGGATTGATTTTGGCTGGATTGATTTTGACCCTTTTCGATGTAGGGTCACTTTCCTAATGTTTCAGATAAAAGTCACAACTGTGTGAAAATAAAACCTGAAATTCCAAGTTTTGGCGAAACTCGGTCAGTTGCAAAATAATTAAAAATCATATTTAACATATAATTGCATGAAACTAGTCATTTGAATGAAACGATTATGTTATTTTTTCGGCATTTTTTAAGTACACCATGTAAAAACAGTTTACCATTTAAGAAGTTTCTTCATGCGTTTTTATTTTTTAAAATAAGAATACCAAAGATTATTAAAGAAAGAATGTTCCTACCATAGTCCTGAAAAAATACAAAACTTGATTTGTCAAATTAGTGTCGCTTTTTCTGGGTGGTGTGAAAAAAGATCTGAATAAAACAAATAGAATTTGGTTTAATCGACAGCCATAGTCAAATAGACCAGTAAGAAAACAGTTTTTGTAGAAAAGACAAAAAAAAACGACCTTTTTAGCTCAAAATTAGTCCAAAAAGCAAAAAGTTCAATCCTGTTTTTGTTGACACAGATTTTTTTCAGTTTTTTTCTACTTGCTTTCAAAACACGACCTAAAGGGCTTTTATATGATATATAAATCGACACATTTTTTAAAACTTACTTGTGGTACCTGGTTTTGACTGGAAAAAAAAACAACAACTAAAACACACCTGAATGCAGCGAATTTCTCGAATGTTCGAAACAATGTTGCAGAGAACGCTCCTAAGAAAAAATGAAAACTGGAATTATACCCGTGTCTCTGTTAATGGCATCAATTGCAACTGGATAGCTGATTTCTATATTCTCAATAACCTAGTTTAAACAATTTTTTGAAATTTTTCCTCGCAATTTACATTTTTGAAGTTATTTTTCTGCATTAACATACTTCAGAAATGGATCATATCAAAAATAAAAAATAAAATTATTACGAGGCCAAGCTGTGTTTTTTTTGGGAAATCTAAGCGGATTCTGCAACAGGGACGCTCGCTTTGTTCTTATTTGTTCTTTCGATTTCTTTGATAGTTTCGACACAAATTTAACATGTTTAGAGACTTGTCTCTGGAATCCGGGAACAAGCAGACGGAAAATTGTGCGCCTATTCAGTGCACACTTAGTCCTCGTAATAAATTTACGATAAAAATGGTTTAAACGGGAAATATTGGAAAAAGTGCAAAATTAAAAACTTCGAAGGAAAAACAAACCACTGTGGGAGCCACAGAAAACTCGGGGACAGGAAGACAAAGAAACAACGTCTAAAATTGGGGAAAAGAGGAAAGAACTAGAAAAGTTAGAACAACAAAATAAATGAAACGAGAAAACCCAAGATATTGAAGAAACGATTTTTAAAACTCACTAGATGTGGAAGCATATTGCAGAAGTGGTGGGGTGAATTCAATCAAACTCCGATAGGAATGCAAAATACGCTTGGGAACATCAGTAGAACTACAAACCTGGAGTTTAACCAGATTGAAGTTATAATGGATAAAGACCAAGGAACGGTGTTGATAAAATTCATAAGATTTAGAAGAAAGTTTGACACAAAATCCTTTTTTGAAAGTTTACTCAATCATATCGAGATGTCAGAAATGACCGGAATCATGTTAAAATGAATACATCAGTAGGATGAAAAGATATCGAAGTTAAGGGAAAGAAGCTGATATGGCAATGAACGACTATTTTTGCATACTTCTTTTAGAAAGATCAACTGGGACGAAGCAAGCAAGATTAAAACAAACTCAAAACAGCGCGAGAAAAAAATGATCAGAGAACAGAATGGATCCGCTATACTAGAAGAAATTTTAAGACGGCTTACACTAAATGATAATCAGAAATCATATTCAAAAACAACATTCATTGGCGTGGATAGCCCCCAGTTCATCAGAGGATTTAATCTGAGAGGAAGAACGGGATATATTGCTTCAAGTCGAGGTATAGACCATTGGATAAGGTTATGAACAAAAACCCTGAGTCGAGGTCCGCGACTCATGTTGCGACCGAAATGGGTAGCCGAACTGGTCTTTCTGTAACCAAAATTTCATCATCCCGCAAGAGACTTGAGTAGCAAAAAGTTGCAACATAGTCAATTTGGGTCGCGCAATGTCGCAACATGGGTCGCGCAGAATCGCAAGATAGCTAATTTGGGTAGCGCAAAGTCGCAACATGGGTCGAGCAAAGTCGCCGCAACATGCATCGCGCAAAGTCGCAACATGGATCGCGCAAAATCACAACATGGGTCGCAAAAAACTCAAGTAATGGAAGTGATGTCGTTTTTTTTGCTTGCATAAGCATTATACAGATGCATTACATACTGAACAAGAATTGGATACTTTTACTTCTCGGAATTAAGCGATCGAAAACTTGGAGATCACTTTAGAGTTTCCAAATATTCTGAGGATGACTCCAAAAAAAACCTTTTAAGTATCAATATATACACTCGGCCATCGAATCGGTAAAAATAAAAAAACATGATCAAACACTGAGAATGAGACAACGAATAAGATGAACGGATGAGACACTTTTTATATAAGAAAGAATCATTAGTGAAGAAAATCATACCAGCCAAAAAAAGAAGATTTTTTAATGAAGGCTCAGGTGTAGAGAAAAACTTGAAAAAAATTTGATGAGGTGATTAAATTTTATTAGCAGTTTGCACCACTTTAAAAGAAACCTGAAGAGTGGGTAAAGTCAAAAATTTGTATAACACCAAAAAGTAAACAAAACAATGAATCAGTGGCAATTGACTTGACAGAACTTGTAGACCCTAAAACTAAATAACAAATTGTTATTACTTCACTTAATTGATGAAATTTTTCGGTTAGGAACATAAAGAGTGGTCGGACACAAAGACCAGTAACTATCATGGAAAGCCCATAATGATGTCAACCATTGGATGCCACGTGAAAACTAAAGCAGTTAGGCCCCATTTTTATTTGGAGCTAAAACACAGTACAGATATATACAAAAGATTCTAACCAAATTGCGAAAGAATAACTTTCGGGACCTGTTACAGTTAGTTAAAGTAGCTCATGAACTAGTTACAACGAAACCTATATTGGGAGTTAATGGACTGTCCTGATGTCAGAGACTTTATCATTAGAATGCAAACAATCAATTGACACAGAAAAAAATGCCTCAAGATTTGACAATGTCAAAAAGACAGAAGTTAAAGCCCTGAAAAAACATTTCGAAGAATTTAAAAATTATGAAAATTCTTCGTAACGAATAAAATTGAAAAAAAATTTGCATTTAAAAAAGGAGACAAGACCTGAAACATAGACTGAGTGGGAGATTTTTTTTAGATGAGACTTTCAATTGTAGACATGGGAAACGCCTAGCTGACGTTCTAGGTATTAAACCTGGAAACGAAAAACCCTCAAAAGATTGTAGTGATGACGAGGAGAGCGTTTTTGAAAATAAGGAAGCAGAAAAAGAGAAAACTTAAAAAATTAATAACAAAAAAAGGAAATAGAAAGAGGGGTGTGTGGAGAACTGTGGAGAAATAATTTGAAGTAAGTGTATCAAAACATTAAATAAAATGAGTTCAAACAGAATGAGTCGACTAAACGTATGTCGAATAGACAGTACGGTTACATAATGCAAAGCTGGAAAAAAAAACGAAAAGAAAAGTCGTTCAGAATTATTACCTATAGTTTGTCAAGATGTACAAAAAATGATGATTCATCTATCTGAATCAAACAGCGAGAGGTCATTTAAAACAAACAAGTGTGTGAACGAAGTAAAAATGAAACAAAAAAATTGACGAAACTGAGTTAATCGCGAATAGTAATCAAAAGAGTTTGATGTGTCGAAGAATTTATTAGAAATTGTTTATTTGTGGATCTTAAAACTTATATAAAAGTTTATCTAGAGAAGTAAGTGTGAACGAAGAACCAATCGAAGAAGAAAAAAAGGAGACAATGAAAAAACTGAAAAAAGAAAGAAGCAAAAATCAGGAAACGCAGAAGCTTGGAAGAAGAAAGAAGGGCGAGACGAAGTTGCGTGTTTACGGCGAATACTCTCTCATGCGCGAGGAAACAGCAGAAGAGTATAAATTCATTTTGCAAACAAAGAGCTTGCTAAAAATCCATGATGGGGCGGAATTGAATTTACTCCAGTGATTTTTGATCCAGCAAAGCAGATTCCAGCAGCGGAGTAGATAGGAAGAGGAGTTACTAGGTAGGAAAGCTGAAATCAGTGCGAGTAGGGTAAAAGAAGCAATTATGTAAATGCAAGAACGAAGTGAAGTGGAAAAAGTTAGTGATCTATTGAGGGATAAAATGACGAAACAGTAAAGCGAAACGGTAAAAGTAGCCCAAAACAATTATAGGGGCAGCGAGGCATCAAAGTCCCTAAATGGAATGAGTGATAAGCAAACGATCTCTGTTCGCCGTGATGAGCTGTACAGCTCTTGTTTTGGTCCTTTCCCCCGTGGATAAAATGGTCTCTACGAATTTTATGGGGATGGGACGTCTGAAGAACCTTTCATACAAAACAAGAATTCATCAACG